ATCGGCAACAAAAACAAAACAATTATAAACCCTCGAAATTGCCCTTAGATCACAGAATGTTCTATTAAACAACAACGATGTCGTAGACAGTACTACAAGATCGTAAGAAATTGAAAGGGGATTACTGCTAATTAGATTCTTCATAGCAACATAGCGAGACCAATGGATACGACGCTCCGATCGAGTTGCCTCGTTTTGATCGTCTCCTTCGTTATGGTCCATGATTGAAGAACCGATACAAGATTAGTAAGTATTGTCCAGAAAATGGTTGAAAGGGAAAATTAAGCAAAGAAGGAGATAAACCCTGATTCTAGACAGGAGAGTTTGATTAAATTGAAAATGGATTGGGCTTTAGGAAAGAAAATAGCAGAATTTGAAAGACGCGAGTATTTAGAGGGGAAACTGTTCACTAAATTGTTGGAGGACAGATAGGAAGAATCGTTTCTATCAAAGATCTGGTGTTGATTTTTCTTGTTTGTACTTAAGCATCAAAGATCTGGGTTTTTTGTTGCAGATGTGAGTGCTCATGTGTTAGGTTTGTTCTAGTGCACACCATGTGTTCGCTGAAATGCTTGACGACAGAATCTAAGCCAATGTAGGCGCATACACACTGTCGATTCTTGCAGTAAGCTTTTGGGTTTTTGGGAGGGATGGTTGGAGAAGATGAAGGTGATTGTTTACTGTTTGGTGTGTGTAGAGAGAGAGAGAGAGAGAGAGAGAGAGAGAGAGAGAGAGAGAGAGAGAGTGGGTGGGACCCCTTGCATATTAAATATTATATATTTATTTATTTTAAAAAAAAAAAGTAATTAAAAACCTCATAAATGGTATCTGTGTAGTGAAATGACAAAATTGCCCCCGACTTAACGGCTAAATGGTAACGGAGTTAGCCGGAAGGACCAAATGTTAAAAGTTTTGAAACCACATGGACGATCCGTGAGGTTTTTTGAACTTAGGGACTAAACTTGATATTTTCAAAAACCACAGGGACCATTTTTGAAGTTTTTTCTAAAATAAATAATCATCGATCAGAAATGTGCAAAAGAAAGAACCTGAGAATAACACTCTATTGCGGCCTTGAAATCCTTGTGTCGGAATGCCATATCCCCTTTTTTCTTTGAATTCAATGATTCTTGCATTTGATCGGTCCACATTTGAAACGAGAGCTGTAACAACAAATTACAAGGATCAATTTCCAAAATTCAAAAAAAATCACGCTTTATTAGTTTTACCAATGTTCAATTTGATAATAATAAATTACAAAAGGAATCCAGTTTGCGGGTCCTTCTACTTTCATGGGTCCGACCCAGTTTATGTGAAATCAAGAAATCAAATGGGACACATGAATGAATTAGAAGAAGCCTTTTTCTTAATAAAAATAATAATATTGTGAATAAAAATAAGTACGAAGTAAGAACCTCGTTTGTTTGTCCTTCGTCATCTTTATATGAAATTGTTTCTAAAATCTCATGAATTGCAGTCAAATCCATTCTCAAGCAAGCTTCACCAAGTGGTGATCGAGGTGAGAATGAAGTTGTGGCCGGGATACCCATCAACACGTAAGATGGAACCTGTAAAAATAAAAAAATTAATAATCTGTTTTTCAAAATACTTAAATGCAAGAATTTAGAATTTAAATGAAAAATAAAAGATATTAATCAACTAACATCGGTTTCCTTTTGAAGAACAATCAAGGAAGCTACTAGTGACTTTGGATTTGGGCGTTCTCGGGGTTCATATTGTAAGCAACGAGAAGCCAAACGAACCAATTCGGTTCCATCATCATTTGAAAATTGTCCTTCCAAACATGAATCCGTAAGCATTTGAAGGTTCCTATCCCTTATCAAGTCAAGAGCCTGAAATTTTAAACCAAATAAGAAGGGCATTCACGTCTTTTTCACACACAAGACCCATTGACATTACTCTCAGCCAAAGACAGTATAATTTGTTCTGTTCTGTCATGGCATGTCTTATCCTACATAACAAATGGGCCCACATACATACATACATATATCTATACATAAATGGAAAGTGTGGACATGTATTCTTACATGGCTTGGAGGAATATGTTTCCCACTAAGAAGGTCAAGCAAAAGAGTTCCGAAGCTATATATCACACTTTCGGGTGTCACTCTTCCTATAAAAGGAAAACACATTTTCAAAAAAAAAAAACATTAAAGCAAAACAAAATTTAAGAAGTCATTTCAAAATCAAAGTTTAAAAGATCCGACCCTTTGACCTCAAAAGTCAAAAAACATTTTCTTTTTTCAAAACGTAATTAAAAACTACATTGAAAAAAGAACGTACCTGTTCTTAAATACTCAGGAGGAGTAAATGCAAGATTCGTGCTATAACTTTTCCCATCACGACTGTTCTTCATTAGGCCAAAACAAGAGAGTCTTGGATTACCTTCCTGCAAGAATCTAATTCATGAATATTGGGTTTTAAAAAAAAAAAGTTGAAATTTGAAATTTAAAATTAAAATTAAAATTTCCACCTCATCAAACAAAATTCTGTATGCATTGAGATCATGATAAAGAGCACGGCCTTTACTTGTACAATATTCAAGAGCTTCTGCCAAATGTAGAACCACACGTAACCTCATTGCCCATTTCATCGGCTGTGATTCCCCTAGATCAACAAAATTTACATAAGCCCCCTCGTAATATTGAATCTTTTCGTTACTAACCCCAATTCTTGTGAAAACGTCTTAAAAGACACTAGTATACTTTGCAAGATTTTGAACGATTATGAAAAATCAAATGCAAAAAACATCATCGTACTTAGCCTTCTTATCCAAAATCACTAATTCTTAAAGAGTATAATGTTTTGAGTTTTGAAAAGTCGATCATGAACGATTTCTTACAGTGAAAAAGATGTTTGGCGAGTGTATTATTGGGCAAATATTCGGCTACAAGAAGTCGTTCATCATGTTCACAACAACAACCAAGAAGATTTGCTAGCCTCGCGTTACGCAATTGACCAACCAATTTTGCTTCTTCCTGATGTTCATAAAATCAAATTCTCGCATAAATTTGGAATAAATTTCACAAAATAGAACAAAAAATTGAGTTTTTTGGTACCATAAATTGTCGGGAATCAGGCCAAGCGGATCTGTTAAACCTTTTAACAGCTATCCTCACTTGATTTTCAAGCTTCCCTTTGTAGACGACATTTGGAGCCTTTTCACCATGTTCAGATACGATGTTTTCAGTTGCAAAACCTGATGTTGCATTTTTAAGTTGCTCAAAACTGAATTCTTTAAATGCAGGCAAGTTTCCGGCTTCCTCTTCATTCCCTGTTGATAAAAAAATAAAAATAAAAAAAAAAAAAAAAAAAAAAAAAAAAAAAAGAGTTTTGTTTCAAATTATCATATAATAAATTGCTTAAAATGACAGAAGGGTATATTTTGGAAATATGGAATACATACCACCATTTGGGTCCTCGAGAATTGAAGCTTTGTGTGGTGAAACCAGACACGGAATGAGCTTGGTGCAAAATGAACCCATGTTGATGAATGTAAACAAAACCTATTTGACAAATAATTGAAAGTGTTTGTGAAATTTCAAGATTTAAAGTATGAAATTAAACCATGAATAAGATTAATCAGTCCTATTAGATCAATTTTCTAACATTCATCATTCATGCTTGTTGCAAATTAACCATTATATTTTAGACAATTCCCAATGGATCTTTTTGCATATGGATTATGGAAGATATTAGTTTTTTCTTTTTAATTTTGGGAAACGAAAAAACTACAAGTACATTCTTTTAGATTCATGTTTGATCAAATTCTCAACTGGATTCATGTTTGATCAACATTAACGCAGCATCAAATGGATTGCACATACAGAAAACAAAGATTTTCACTACAGACTTTAAAAAGGATCTTGAATTTGTAAGACCAGCGGATAGGGTTTTTAGCTGATTACAGTATCGAACAGATATGAAAATGCAATTTAACAAACACAGATTCAATCTTTGAAGCAGAAAGACAAAAACCCACAACGGAGAAACCAAAAAATTAGCATATCATGTCCTACCTTTTCTTGAAGAAATTTTCTTGTTTGTTCTTCTGGTCAAGAAATGAAAAGAAAAAGTCAACTTTCTCGTCTTTATGATTGTGTTCACAAGAACCCTAATTGGTGGCTTTAAATCCTCTCAGAAAGTCAAAATTCCAACCCCTTTTCTAGATCAAACCCAATCAAAGAAACTAATCTAAACCCCAATTTTTGGTTCCCACAAGATCCATATTTTCGCACCAAGTACCAAGATTGCCCCCACACACAAAATGAAGACTACCCACTTAGAATTCTGAGACTACCCCTTTACAAAAATTCAGAAATTTGTGCTTTTAGGAAACAACAAAGATGAAAATTGATGAAAAGGGTTTTGGGATGCATAAATTTTTTGATTTGAGAAAACAAAAACCGAATTACAAGATCCTAGATTGATACGTATAATAGAAATAGAACACACATTCGAGCTAAAGAGCACCCAAAATGAGAGAGATCCTTATATCTTGGGTGAGATCTTTATAATCTTCTTGGAAATGAGTAAGAATGATGTTAAGCCCTTTTATAGTTTGTAACATGCCATATATATTTTAATAAAATAATTTATTAATTACCCATCTTAATTATTACATTTAGATGCCCCTTTCAATCTTCCATCATAAACAAATACGAACTTTTAATATAAAAAATAATTCAACTATACATTAAAAAAAGCTATACATTAAATATCAACAATAATTTTTGATAAAATAAAAAGAAAAACTATATATCATAATCAATTTCATTAAATGACAGTTACAGTTTTAGGATGAGAGAGTGAATCAGATTCCTATTATTAATTTGTAGTGAGATTTCATAGATCTAAAAGTACCCACCAATTTATTTTTTATGTCTTAATTCATTACCAATATTTTTTTTTGTTTGTTGATTAATTTAACCGACTCGATTTTCACATTAATTCGTCAATTTAAACAAAGATCATAGAAAACAAAATTTGATTTATTTAGTTGTTAGATTATAGCAATGTGTTAAAAAAATTTATTTATATAATAATTTACCTATTTTTATGGCTATTTGGATGGCGTTTTTAAGTTGGTCAATATGTATCCCATTTTTTTATGTATCCAGTAACAAACATCTGATACTTCAAAATATTGGATGTCAAAAATACTTAAGCATTTATCCTTAACTTGTTCATAGTTTCCCTTTTCATATTAATTTAACATAACAAACTGTTTATTGTTATTGCATAAATTCCCAATATATGATTAAGTTATGGATAATGTTATAATATTATACTTTTTGATATGTTGGATATTAAAGCCGATTTGGTTGAAAGGATTCCTTTGGAATTAGAGGAATTAAAATCCAATTTTATCATTTTCCTGTAAGGATGAGCACTTGAGCATGTGAAACCGGAGTAACCTGGAAAAAACCGGAATTTGGTCTAGTTCTTGGTTCTTAATCGGCTCCAAATTCTTCGGTTATTGGTCAGGTTTAGGCAGGGTTACGAACCGAACACATCCCTAAAGAGCACACTTACTTGTAGACTGGAAATAGATCGGAACTGAAATCGGTTGGAACCAGAACCGGGGTATTCATTTCGGTTCTTGGTTTTCCATTTCCTATTAAATCAATCCCTGGTTCTTCTGTTCTCGGTCCAGATCCACGACGTTGATCATTCCTACTTTTCCATGTTTAGTTCAAGTTTTCAAAGTGAATTGGAATCTAAAATGAGTTCAATTTTTCATCAAGTCGGAACATAATGAGGAAATTAAAATCTCATTCAAGAAGGATTGCTAAGATTACCATAATACCTCTCTTTTTCTCTTTCTCTCTCCTAAACTGTTAGGTATCCGACTTCATATTCTTCAAGCCCTTGTTTGCGCCGACCACTATGTTCATCGTTGAGTTATAAATCATAAATCAAATTAAACATAATATGAAACTGGATTTCAGTTTTATTTCCTACCAACCAAAAGGCTTCATATTTAATTTCAATTTCTTCATAAATATTCTGCTGAGAATCCATGTCACTTAAGAAAAATCATATAAATATTTATAAAGCATAAAAAATAGACATCATTAAAAAAAGATCAGCAATTGATAAATATACATTGCAAATTTTATTCTACCAATATATTAACATTGGGAGCAACCATAAAATAAAATCAATTAATAAATGTTACTTTTTTTAATTAAAAACCCTTGTAACTTTTGATAGATGTCCATGTCGCCAGACTTGCAATTTTTGAATATTTATAAGCGTTATACTTATTTTTAAGTTGTAAAATAATCATTATATTTAAAAATTCCAGACAGTAAGGTCCAATATTTCTTAAATACAGTATCATTTAAGATATTATAACAATTACTATTTAAAAAAAATAAAATCAATTATAATTATTACAAGAGATCAATCACTTATTAAAAAAATACTGAAAGAAGGTAAGGTCAAATTGCATTGTGTGATAAGAGAGAGTCTATGATTCCAAAAGTCCCCACATCCAACACACAACTTCTGTCTTAATCATTACATCTTTTTTTATACTTATTCATATTTAAAAAAAATAAATCATACCAATGTTCCCTAAAAAATGTACAAAACTAAATCGAATATGATTTAATAATATTATTAATTATTAACCATATTTTAGATATACAGTAAACAAGTATACAGTGGATAATGATTATTTATAATAAATTATAAAAAGTAAATCATGAACATCATAATTTTCAGGATGATTCTGAAAAAAATAAAATAAATTTATAAATAAAAGAGCAATAATAATTTACATGTCGACGAGACCCACATGCAACGTTGGCGAGACCCTATAAGACTTACAAACTCATTTTAGTTTTTAACGAATTTATAACATTTGATTTGTTATGTATACTATTTAGAACATGTCACAATAAATACCACAAAACATATGTAGTGTATTTTCGTATTTCATATTAATATATTCAAAGTAGTTGGAGATTTATGATGGTTGTAGACTTGTAGTTAATACTTTCATACGAAAATAGTCAAATACAAAAATTGGTTAGTCCATTATCAATAAATGTGTTTGTGTATTTAATTTCATATTTTTGAGTTTTGATAAAACATTTTCAATGGAGAATACTATAGGTGTTATTTTTATTTTATTTTTTATTTTTTTGTATAGTGATGTGTTTACTATTTACTATAGAGTATTGAATGTATACATATATTTTTATTATTAAGGAATATAATTAGTTTCTATCTAAGATTTCATTGTCAGTTTGTCACGTAAATAAAAATACAGCAGGAAAAAAAGAGAGCATAAACTAGTCCCAACTCCGATGTAATGCTACACCTTCACAAAGAGTACTTGTATTGATTATGTAAGGCACTTTAATCTTGAGTTCATAATGAACTAATAATTTAATTTTCTCAATATTTTAATAATATAATTCAATAATTTTTATAAATATGGACACATACAAATTAGCTCTTTTATCCATGTCTTTTTTGATCATTTTACATATATAAGCATAATTTGCCAAAATCTAATATCAACTTGCCAACTTATTGTATTTTATCACCACATAAACTAATCCTAAACTCTCGTTTTACAAAAAAAGCATTAGTTGTGACAATTAAGCAAATTCCAAACACCCTCTTGGTAGCCTATTTAGTAACCCAAAAAAAAAAAGTTAATTGCCAAAAATAACAACAAAATAAAATAATGATTAGTTTAAATGGATTGTGATCTTTTTAGGTGAACACTTTGGTCCCTCAAAAAGTTAAGGTTTGACCAAGTCAAACAACATGAGTAAATAAATAAAGAAACTTGCATGCTACTTAAGCTTTGAGGAAGCATATTTTCATGACAAACCTGCAAAGACCCTTCTTTCCTAGACATGCTAAATAAACACTGGTCCCATTTTTGTCACCACACTCATTATATCACAACTATTTAATTTTCTCTTTTTTTTATCAAATATCCCAAAACTAAACTTTTTTAACATTACAACACAATTAACAATAAAAACAAAATCTTCCAAAAATGCCCCTCCATGTTTAAAACCTACGGATATCTTTTGGGGGTTTGAAGTTGACCGGGTGAGTTTCTGGAGTGGCATTTTCGTCTTCTTTCCACATTTTAATTGTTTTGTCTGCTTCACATGTAACCAGCCTTGATCCGGTCATATCATAAGATAATGCATAAATTCCAGCCTCACTATCCAATGACCCTAATAAAATTTTATAAAAAAAAATTAAATATTTAGTGTAAATTAATAAAAATCATAAAGTTGGAAGTAGATTGCTATTTGAAGCATTAAAAGACAGACACGTACCTGGTTGAACAATTGTTTGAGATTGTTGGAAACTATGACCACTTTTCCAATCCCAAAACCATAAACTCCCATTGTCACCTTTCATCAAAAAGATTATTATAGTCAGTCAATATTAAGTAAAAAAAAAATATTTTTTATTGTATTATTAAAAAAAATGTTTATGAAGAAACTCTTACCTCCTGTAGCTAATACACCCTCTTCATTGACTGTCATTGCATTAATTATTGTCTTCTGTTGGGAACTACAGATAAAAAAACAAACAGGTGAAATTAGATACTTTTCTTAATTTAATTTTTATACATCGAATTAAATGGTATATAAAAAAAAAAAAAAAAAAAAGACTCACAGCATGTTGTGCAAAAATTCTCCTCTTGGAAGGCTAAATTTTTTTATGTTGTCAGCTGATGCAGAAGCAAAACTATCCCTGTAGACAATTCAAGAAAATGAAGTAGTTAATTTTAATATGAAATAAACCGATAAAAATTAAAAAAGTTAAAAAGCTGAAAATACATACTCAATAGGATGCTGGGCCAATGCGCGCACAGATTTCTTGTGATGTGTAAGAGTCGCCATTGTTTTACCTAAAAAATAAACAACTCCAGATAAATACTAACTTCCAATAAAAAAAAACTACAATATATTTATTTTTTTTGAATAAATAAGTATATTACCATATCTAAGATCCCAAAACTTTATAGTCGAATCATGTGAGCCAGTTACAACTTGAGGATCCTGGAATAAGATGTAAAAATTTAATCTTTTGAATTACTAAAAAAAATATTTATTAAAAATAAAATTACTTACTGTAGGTCGAGTAAAAACTGAGCAAACTGTATTATCATGGCCAGAAAGAGCATGGATTTGCATCTTGCTACGAATATCCCACACCTGAAATTATTCATATATTAAGTTTTAAACTATAATACAAATGGCCAAAAATGGTCCTTGTTTTTAAAATATTTTCGCTTCTGTTACTTATTTCATGGTTTTGTATCGATTTTGGTCCTTATTTCAAGGTTTCAGGAACCAAAACTGAAAACAAAAACGATTTTGGACTAAACACAGTAAAAAACAGAAACTAGAGGGACCATTTTTGTAATTTACAATAAACTAAAAACCTTCATACCCGGCAAACAGAATCACGGCCTCCAGTAAGTAGAACATCAATAGTGGGATGAAGGGCAAGGCAATATACACCACTTAAATGCCCATGATATGAACGAATAACCTTTCAAAAAGAAATATATTTAAGAAAATTATATAAAAAAGAAAAAAAAGAGATTTTATGTTTCTTGTTTAAGTGATATGAACCTTGTTCTGTTCTAGGTCCCAGCATTTAACTTGTTTGTCATCACCAGCTGAAAACATGTAAGTGTGCCTACTGCTAACAGCAAGCCCTGCAATAATTAATAAACATTAAAATTTGTATTATATATATATATATATATATATATATATATATATGTTGTTAGTTAAGTTTAAAAAAAATGAAAACCAAACCTCGAACTTGTTCTATGTGTCCTGTTAGTGTGAGTCTTAACCTTCCAGATCCCACATCCCATATCTGTACACAACATTTTATCATGTTTAAAAACAATAATTATATAAAAATATGGATTTGATAATTAAAATATTATAATTATTACCTTAATTGTTCGATCTGCGGATCCAGTACAGAACCACTGATTACTTGGATCAAATGCAATAGATCTCACCCATCCCAAATGGCCACTAATCACCTATAAATATATTACCACATTTAATTAAACATATAAAAAAAAAAAATTAAAAAACATTTGTAATAAAAATAAGTGTGCTTACTCTGTAGTTCTTCCATGGAGCATGCCATACAGGACGTGGCCACCTGCTAGGGATTCTTTCCATAAGGGCTGCAGTTGAAAGATTCCTACTGGAAATAATTCAAAAATGTTAATAAACTATCAAATACGAAAGTTTTGTTAAATAAAAGTATAAAACAAAACAAGTTTTTATAAAAAAATAATAATCCAAACCTTTCTGAAGTCCCATGAGCAGGAATGATGGAAGTACTTCTGCCACTCAAGTTGCCATCACCTCTGTTTAAGTAAAAAAACGTACATAATCGATTAATTCAGTTTACCAATTAAAAAGTATATCTTTTAGAAGCATTGTTAAATAGAAAATATATCAAAATAATGCTTACGGGTTCTTTGATTGAACAGGAGTAATGGCTAAATCACTCTGAGCACCACTCTTCTTAGAACTTTCAGTGCCTACAAAAAAAATTTATATAAATCAAAAGATGATACTTATTATTCTATCCATGATGTTATTTGGGCTGAGTAATTTAAGTTTCATTTCATAAAAAAAAGCTAAAAGGTAAACTGTTGTTTTTGCATAGATTGTATAATATCAAAGTTGATGACATCAGTTCAATAAATAGTTTTGATTCTAGAGTAAAATGTGAAGTCATTGTGAGTGGTATAATTCCATTGTACTTTTGGGCTTTCATGCTTCCAAGTAACAACAACTTGAAGGTGAAAGCAGCATAATTCAGTGTGACAATAGCTCAACAATCTTACTTTCAAACTATCATGTGTCATTGCAATTTCTATTTAAGAGCTATGGGTACATGCTTTCATTGCAATTGCTATTTAAGGGAGTCTAGATTACAGTAATAAAGAATCAACATGCAAACAAGATTAAGATTAATGCTGATAGATAAGAATGATGGAAATCATCAGTGTGTGTACCTGGTAGAACAAGAGCATTTGAGTTTGAAGGTGTAGCTTGATTTTGTGAGGAACTCTTGATAGGCTGATTAGGCACACTTTTTATTCCCCCATACTCAACGTGTAGCTGCATTAAAAAGTAATGCACACATATAAACCACATAATATACATTCAAAAGTAATGACCACAAACGCAAGAAACAATAGTGTAAGTTCTTTCCATTCAGGAAAAAGATAGTAGTATTCCCCAATTCCAAATTCAAAATCAAACATTGAATGAAACGTGGTTCTATTTGTATCATTGTGATACAGTTTAACGTGATTCTCAAACTTTTTCTCTAAATTAGAACAATTCATATCATGTCTTGATCAAAAAACTAGTTTGTTTCGTCTAAGAAAAACGATGAAACTAACATACTTAGGGAAGAAAATAGAAACAGTACATGAAGCCATATACTGAGTGAAAATACAGCGACGTACTAACCTTATGGCTCATCCGTATCTTCTTGCTGCACAGAATTACATAAAGAACAATCAGATCATATATTGAAAAACTTACATTGATAAATCGAAATTAGGGTTTAAAAAAGAAACCTTTCGGGGTCAGGAGGAGGAAACTGAGAGTGAAGAGGAGAAAAAAGATCGAGAGCCCGTTTTAGGGTTTTAAAGCTAAGCTTCTTCAATGATTGTGGTTCCACTGGTAGTTCTGCCTCCATTGTTGGCCCTGGCATCTCTGCTTGTGGTGTTTGTAGAGAAACTTGGAGAAGCTCGAAGACGTCGAAAGAGGAGGCGCGTGATAGTGATTTTGGTTTCGATTTTTCTCAATCTACGGAAACGGGGACTGATTTTTCCATGGCATATTTTTATTCTTCGACTGAAATTGAAATTTAGGGGTGTTTTTTAAAGGCAAAAATCATTTTTGGAAAATATATAGGGTAAAAGTAGATTGGTAAAAATATTTTAAGAGTGACTTTTGGATTTTAGATTGAAGGAAAAATAATTTTTTGAAAAAGTTAGAAACCTGATTTTTTGTAACTCTTCAAAAAATGACTTTTGTCTCTCAAAAAAAACAAGCCAAACATCATCTATGGGTGAGCATGGTGCGGTTCAGTGCGTTTTTTTATACAACCACAGCCGCAAATTGCGGTTTTTTAAAACCAAAAATCGAAAATTATGGTTTTGATTCGGTTCGATTTTGCGGTTTTGTGGTTATTTTGGTGCAGTTTCGGTTTTTAACCACAAAATGAGGTGGTGCGGTTTTTCGGTTAAAAATGTGCGGTTTTTAATGTTCAAAACATAAAATTTAGTCAGCTCTCATTTATTTCAAGATTTTCATTGCAAATAAATCACAATTTTTGTCCAGATTTATTCTTTCATGTTGCATTTTATTATGTTATATTGAATTCATTTCATTCAAATAATTAACAATATGTCTAACATTTACTAACCACCATTTACACACAAAAAACTAAACAATAAAAATCATAAAATGATAAATTTGATAATTTATTTTATTAATTAAGTATAAGTATTATAAATATTTAAATAATATATTAAATTATGTGGTTTGCGGTTATTTCGGTTAATTTGGTACGGTTATTAAACATAAAACCGAACAGCACTGCATTTTTTCGGTTTTTCAAAATTAAAAACCGCACCATCGGTTTTCATTTCGGTTTCGGTTATTTGGCTTTAGTTTATGTTGTTATTTCGGTTTTTTTGGGTTTCGGTTCGGTTTTTGCTCACCGTTACTATCGACTATTATGCCTATTTTAGAGACATCGAAGAAAGATAAGGTTGGAAAAAATAGACGGTTTTCGAAAAAAAATCAAAAAAATGAAAATTTTAAAACGCGTTTAGTTTGTCTATTTTTCTAAATTTTTCACGAAAAAATGAAAATTTTTTGTTTTCTAAAATTACAAAGAAATTATAATTTTTTGGAAAACCAATAATCATTGTTTTTCATATTTTTCTAATTCCAAAATTTTCCGAACATTTAAGGCTAACTCTTTCTGGTCTTCAAAAAATTATCAAAATACAGTTATATAAGTCTAAGATATAAACACACATTCACTCTCACCTCTACCTACCCCCAACCCACAACACCCTTACCTACCCACACCACTTACTCCCAAACCCACCCCTACAAACTCACACGTACACACACACTCGCCCACCCACCCCCACAAGTACACACCTACCCCAACCCAAACTCATACCCATCATGTCACACCCTCAAATGGGTAAAACAGCGGAAACATTAGGGGCGGATGACGCCATGTACAGTATCATAATCATTGAATAATAGAAATCAAAGCATTACAAACATTATATTGATAATTTAATATTTACATTGAGATCGAATCATTGTTTGTTTGACTCCAAAACATATGACAAAAATATAATACGTAAACTGCTATGCTTCGTCTTCACAAAACCTGCATGAGTATCTGTCTACTGATTCCCTGAGAATACAAGTGGTTTTGAAAGAAAAAAATGTTAGCATTTAAGTTGGTGATTCATAAGCATTGAGAAAGATATGTCTTTGTTTCTTGAAAATGATAATGTGTTCTTACAAAAAATCCAATATTTTCTTTTAAATGTAATATAGTCTTAAAAACCCTAAAATTGAAAATGTATAAGTATTGTTATACCCTGAAGTAGTATAATGTAGCTTTATATCTTTATAAAACCATTTGAATGCATGTTTCCAGAAATATAAACTGTATTGTATTGTAAAATAATGTAATGTAGTTTTATCTAAATAAAACCATTTGAAGATATGTATGTATTCATAAACCAAACGTATTGTTAATACCCCTTGTGAGTTATTATAACCATGCTAACGACCTAGATGACATGTACGACGTTCTTCAGGCGTCGAAATGGTACGACATTTGTCACCTCAGACTTGTCAGTCCAGCTGTAGCTAACAGTTTAGGTGCAGGATTATTAGTCCCGTATAGATCTATACACAAATATCACGCTCTCTTACGGGAGATTCTGGTTATAATACATGACTTTTGTTGGTACTTAGATAAATACTTGAAGACATTTCTCACAAACCCATGTTGATTGTTTACGTGTAGTATGATGAAAACTCTTTTTTTTTTTTTTTTTTTTTGTAAATGTATGTATCATTCTTTTATAGTATTTACATGTTATAAAATAATTATGCCTTTAAATAATTATTTTTGGTATTGTATCTTGAAATGGTAAAATAGTGTGTGTCTCTCATAAACCATATCTATTATAGTTTATAAAAATGTTTCATTAAAATGATGAATCCTTTGTATATACATTATCATTTTTCTACTATGATAATAAAATGATTTGAAATAATTATATATTTATTTTTATATAATTATACCATTTTGCTCAACATGTTACAAAAGGGTTATAGTTTTATATTTGTAACCAAATTTCGTACCCAATATATATATATAGTAAAAAAAACATTTGTAATGGTTTGTATAATAACACAAATTTTCTTGTGTTTTACTTGTATTCCCCCCCCCCCCCCCCTTTAAACATGGAAAATCGTGGAAATTGTAGGGGTGTGAACTCACCTCAAGTGTGTTCTTGGCTGGATAATTATGTGAGTGGTGATGTTCTTCAAGTTAGAACCCGTGAAAATAGTTGTATCCTAATAGTTTTAAACACATAATAGTGTGTGTAAATTTGATGAACTAATCATGAAAGTATTATAAAAATACTAGATTAAACAAGATAATTTACAATGACTCCTAAGAAATAAATCTTGAAGGAATAGTTTATTGGGATAGGTTTGAATGTGTTTCTGGGTAATTTGTTGAAGACTTGAAGATGTTCTTTGGAAAAGTATGAAGATATGATGGTTTTCTTAAGAGTTTTGAGATAAAAATGTGAAGGATTTTGAGACGTAAATGAGAATTGTGAATGGTGTTTTCGGTCTAATCTTTATGTATGGTGGTAAAATTGATGTGATGTTTGCATTGGGAAGTGTATTTTGTCGCCTAGGAAAAAGTGTCACGGATAAGATTTTATGAATTCGACCTATCTTCACCGAGAACCATCTTGATTTCTACCGAAATCACATGTGATTTCGGTCCAAGGGAGTTCTCGCTCTCGCATGGTCTCGGTCAAATAGGTAATTTCGGTTTATGATGTTCTCGGCTGAGGGGTTCTCGGTCAAGGAGTTGACTTCAACCCAAGGTGTTTTCGGTCTAAGTGATGATTTTGATTATCAGAACCGAAAACCTCAAAAGTAAAGTGCATCTTCATTATTTTATTTGAACTATTTAGTTATTTGACTTATGTTTGACTTGTTTGACTTTTATTGACCCGAAATAATTGGTTGTTACATACACCCCCACAAACACACACCCATCCCCACCCCCACAAACACACATACACACACACCTACCCCTACCCCCACAAACAAACACACACACATACCCTCTTCCCCACACCCATACCCACAAACACAGTACCATTACCATGATCACCAACCTACCATCATCACCACCACCACCACTACCCCATCACCAGTATCATCACCACCTCTATCACAATTGCCACTGCCACCACCACCACCACCACCGTCGCCATCATCGACACCACCACTGCCCCCGCCGCTACCCCACCCCCACCCTACCACCACTAACATTTTCTAAAAATGAAAACCGATAGAGATATACACATTTAAACGCCTTTTTCTAATTTTCTAAACCTGAAAATGAAAAAAGAATAAGTTTTAACTAAACACGTTTTCTAAATTTTCTAATGAAAACGAAAAATGAAAACTGAAAAGGGAAAACGAAAAACGGAAAATGAAAATTGTTTTCTGTAACTAAACGCAACCTAAATATCTCAATATTTGTTTCCACACGACCCTCCCTTCTCCTCGTTCTTCTCATTCAGCGTTGTAATCTTCTACCGATAATTTGTTGCTTCCTCAACCCATTTACATATGAAAGTGGTATTTGATTCTCTCATTCTATTAAACAACCATATGTGATATCTGATTCTTTGTGTATGCCTATATGGGATTGATAACAAATATTATTATTATTAATCTCAGTATAAATGTTTCAAAAATCACAGTAATTTAGAAATTTGAAACTCAATAAATGAGTTCAATTATTATTGTCATTGTCTTGTTGTTCCATTTTTTTTATTTATGAAGTAGTCACAAAGCATAACTCTAACTTGAATTGTCTTCAATTTAATTATGTAATCGGCTACATAAGTATAATCAGTTGATATTTCAATATTTCAAGAATTGATCACTCACTAAGTGCTTCTGGAGTAATGTGCCTTTGTTGATGACCATTTTACCCTCGGTGTTGCCATAATGGTGTTTAAGTACTTAAAGATCTTACTTGGTGTATAAAATGTGGTTACCATGCTTTCTTAATATTGGCTAAGAAAAAATATGCTCACTAAAAGTTTGTTGCTTTATTAAAGTTGGTTGAATTCACCTTAGCTTTAGTGCTTCATCTTGTTCCTGAAATTGTAATATCTCTCGGTCTAATTTTAGTTGTTTATACTCTTTTTGTATTTGGTCAAGTTTTTGGATCTTGTTTTCAAATAAAGAGTCATTGGAGTTAAAAAAACAAATTTAAGAGAAATCCAAGTTCTAAGTGAAGCATTCCTCCATTTGATTGTTTTGATTGTTACACTTCTTTAAATTATATATATATATATATATATATATATATATATATATATATATATACACACACTATAGTAGGGCCACTTATTAAGTTCTTGGTGAACATGTGAAGCCTTCTTCCTGTTTTATTTAAGTATGGACCATTTTTCCCTTTGTGATGTTTTGATGAAATTCATCGTTTTTTGCTGATCACCTGCTATTAATTCAAGACTTCATTGTTTCAAACTTTTTGTTGTAATTGATGTGCGTAAAATAATTATGCACTAGTTTATCCTACTAATGAAACTAATTATTACCTAAA